ACAAGGAATTCTGAAACCTTTAAGTGGCCAATTTTAGCTAGGAGTAAAGTAAGTTGTCAATATAAACTCCAAAATACATCAACAAAGTTTTAAAAAAGTTTCAGTACGATTTCAGAAACTTTTAACAGAAATTCAGAAGAATTTAACTACAGATTTTTTAAAAAAAGTGTTGAGGGTGGTTCACGCATTTGCGCTGTAGAGTGATCGAGTGTGTCATCGTCGCTTGTAACCGCCTACGACGAGAGGTCACAAAGAGTATGAAACTGCTCGACCGGGGTCATGCGGTTTGCGTGCCGCGTTTTGCAACACGATCTGCAAGGAGGTGACGAAAGTGTTGATCGTCTGCGAGCATCTCTGCCTTTCCGCCTGCTTTCCTTCTCGCCACGCGACAACGCAGCGCGTGCGCACTTGCGACCAATCGGCGCGGGAGGCGTCTGCCATTTAATTTCAAGAACTTTTCGTAGTTGTCAAAGGGACTCTCTCTTCAATCTAGGCTCTCTATAGAGCAGACTGACACACTGACGCCATCGGTCGGGCAGAACACTTTCGATCTGTGTCATAGATTTCCTGTATTTCGACGGTCCAATATACGGTTTCTTTGGAAAAATGGTGGCGTAAAGCAATATTATAATTATTTTTGAAGTTCAAGGTAAAAAGGTAATGCCTAAAATCAGAAAATATATATGCATGACGAAGGTATTTCACGGTTGCCCGATAGACTGCGCCGTCGTGCTGGTGAAGTATCGTCGTGCTTCAAACACCCCGGGCAAGGTTTCGCTGTTCGGAACTCCAGGGACAGGTTTTTCAACATCCGATGCTGCAAAGCTGCGGATTGTGGGTGTTTCCGTTCACTACGTTTACCAAGGTTTTTATGACCAGGTACGGCCTACTGTTTTTCAATGCGTAATGAGTGCTATCTCACCATGCTTCATGCATTCGAACTTATTTTTGAAGCATTTTTTAACGCATTGCATTTAATAGTCTATTCATCCTGCAAATTTGTCGACTAGGAACCCACAGCACCTGGGAAGAGATAAAAGATGTACGTCACATTTCCCAGTTAGATGGGCTTAAATTAACACCCCAAACGAGTCACCTTTAGAAAGTTAGGCTACACGACACCACCCTTGCAAGAACACAAAGAACGAGTATCTCTGCACCTAAGAAAAGCCATTCGTGTAGCCCAGATCCCGAAGCACATGCATCCAGTTCACATAAGGCTCGACGCATGCTAGAACATAAACCATGAGTACCAAATACGGCGATAGCCCAACTACAAGATACACCGACGCGTCCCTATATCAGAATCAGCCAGCCCATGCGGTATGTGTAACCAATGCAGCAGGGCATCAAATGACCGCCATCATCGTACGCACGGCATCCACAGAAGCCACCGAGAAAATTCCCATTGCCCGGCCGTCAGAGGGCTCAAAGACTCCCAGGCAACCTGCCGCAACTACGTACTAGGAAGCATCTCCTAAACAGCACTTCGCATTCTCAAGACCATCTCCGGCTTCCCCAAGTACACCTCGTCTGAGTACCCGGACACGAATTCCATGAAGGCGGCACATGCCGCTGCCCGCGCGCAGATATACCGGTCTATCATCCAAGATGGGGCAATCTCCCTTGTTCCCCTCCCGCCTGACCTACTCATCAAGTATGCCGTCATACTATCCCACTACCGTCACGACGGAAGAAAATACCCGGCACCGCACGCATGACTGTCAATAGGTGAAGCCAACAACCTCCGAAGACTCAAGACCAACACATATCCCCACAGCCCCCTTCTTCACGCCATCTAGCCCACTCAATGCCCCGCCACATGTAATTTCTGTCCTTCTCAACCCGGAATTTACTGCCAATCCCACCGCGTTCTACGAGCAGTGGATGACCTGCCTGACCAGCCCGAACTCTGTGGGATCCAGCAAGACCCGGTGACGAGAGAACGGACAGCCAGCCGCAGCCAGGGTATCTCGGAGAAAGGATGCCCACCACCGGGCAGGTGCCCTAACATGTGCAACTGATGCGCGTTAAATAAAGATTTATTGAATCAATGTCGATGACTTTTCAGGCCCTACATAATCAGACATTTGCCGTTTTCAAAAATGCTGCGTCCGACCCGATTTCGGAAGTTTGATGGGCCATTCTATTGACTTAAGCGGGAGTATTAGAAATCACACACCGAAAACATGACCATTATGTCACAAAACGCCATCAAGTTGTGACTTTACATCGTCTCACCTTATGCCCAGACGTAGCCGTCGCAACGAGCTGATGCACCTTTCGGAGCGCACCATAGTTCGCTACGAAAGCACACCATGGTGGCGTTCGTCATTATTTCTGTACGCGTTCTATCACCGCTCAACCAATCATTACCTGCAAAGGACTAGTGACTTGCGCTTTTGACGGTGCTTGATCGGTTCCATTAGATCGGAGGGTCGGCTGCGTCCGAGCTTAAGATGAAGCGAAGTATAATCAGCAGGCGAGGCAACACTCATCATGCGCGACTCGGGAGTAACTATGTTTGCGGGTTCAATCCGCGAACGTAAACCTACTCTCTGAATGTTAGGATCGGACAATTCATTAACAGAGGTTGTTGCAAATATTTAAATACGTCCGGAAACGGTAGTGCAGCTGTCTCTTCAAGCAAATGTCATTCGAATAGATGAAAGGAATTGATGACAAAATATGATGGGGAACGCGACAAAACAGCACACGACAAAACAGCACGTGACAAAACAGCACAGACAAAAGAGTACGTGTAAAAACAGCACAGCGTCAAAACAGCACGGCGACAAAACAGCTCGCGTCAAAATAGCACGCGACGAAACAGCACAGCGTCAAAACGCCACAGTGACATCAGAGCACGCGTAAAAACAGCACGGCGTCAAAACAGCACAGCGACAAAACAGCACGCATATGTAGCAATTTCGAGCGCGCTCTTCACCACTCTCTGCGGGAATAATTTCAAACCTCCTTGATCCTTTCACTTATTGTGGCTAGGCTATAAAGGAATTGATTGCCTATGTCGGTGCTGAACAAAACTCCGCAACCCAACTCCCCCCCCCCCCCCCCCAAAAAAAAAAAAATATCGCGTCATGATGCTTGCTTGCGGTTTTTGCGAGGCTAGAAGAGTCAGTTTAAATGATGAGTACTAATCGCAACCCTCGTAACAGAATGTATGCTGAAGCTAGCTAAACTAATATCCATAACCAAAAAAAAAATATTAAGAAAATATTGATGGTAGCTATTGCTACCTTCCCTCCTTCCATACCCCCCCCCCCCCCCCCTTCCCCCCACTGCATCGGTCGAGAAGTTGTTTTGAGTTAAATTCCCTCTTTATTGCCGACATAGGCCTAGATCGAGTGGAATCCGGTGAAGCAGAAACATTAGCCACAGCGTCAATGCTGTTGCTGTAGAGCATGGGCTAAGCACCCCGTGCCGCACACACCTCCTGTTTTTTTTTTATTTTAACAACCAATGACAACAAATTGCAGCGCGATTGATTCGTTTATTGTAGGCGACATCACTAGCAAACCTGCCCGTCAAAATTCACAGAACTGGTCGAGAAATAGCCAGAACACGCACCAGTACCCCTTCTCTATCGGCCAGTACCCCTTCGGTAGTGGCCGGGGAGCCTTCATGTGCGCATCGAGTATACTCCCCACTCCAAACTTGGTCCCAAGGGAACGGATTCGACAAATTGGCCGTCGACGAGTGGGTCTTCCAGGAATTCGCCTGGACCCTCCATTCCTTTACAGTGCCTACTTTGAGATATGCATTTCTTAGCTCCATGCACTATATTTAGGGTTCAGTGTTTTCGGCTTAAACCGAATAAAACGGTAAAGTACGCCGAATTCATTTTTCCGAATTCGGTTTGAAGTCAAAAAGGTCAGTATTTTCGAGGGCGTTGGAGGGGTGGGAAAGGGGGGGGGGGGCGGCGATGGTGACTCATTACTGACCGTATTACAACTTCCTTTCGCAGTTTTCAGCTTCTCTATGAGATCGGTTCAGCTTTCAACAAAAGCTGGGTGGCGCAGTGGTCTTCAGTACAAAATCTGGGTTTTTCACCTGATAGGGACTTCTGTGCCGAATTCTTGTTCAACGAAGAGAGTTTGTTCGTGGACTGAACAATGAAAATCAAGGGTGTCCATAAATGCTGCACTTTTTTAACACCCATAGCTTCCGTCTACCAGAGGAGGGCATAAGTACTATTGTTTTTTTGTCGCTTCTGTGGTCGGCGTGAATTTACCCCCTTTCGCAGTCGTGAAGATGGGGAAAAAACGCACTGAGTACAATCCTTTCAAATTTCTGGATTTCGATATTTGCCTCTCCGACTAAAGTGGTTGTGAGGCTCATGTTCGTCATGTGTACAAATACGAGCACACGACGATAATGTCAGATCACAATTGGGCCCCAGTGCGTCTTGCAAAACAGGTCGCGTCGGTTGCTACAGACAGTAAAAAATAATAACAATAAAAAAACATTACCTGGTTTACTCACAATACATTTAACAAACGCCTTTAAATAATGCATTTTCGCCAGTATACCGGTTTTCGTCAATAAGCCGAAAAGAACCGAGAAGTTAATGAGTGTGCAAATATTCACTGCAACAAACCGGAAACTTCTGTTAGGAATAAAACCTGAAAAAAGTACGCCGAATTTGAAAACAATAAGAACCGAAAATGCCAAATGCTAGCTATATTGTCAATGTCCTGTTTTGACGCCGTGCTGTTTTGTCGTGGTGATGTTTTGCTGCCGTTCTCTTCTGTCGCTGTGCTCTTTTCACGCTGTGCTGTTTTGACGCTGTGCTGTTTTGGCACGTGCTCTTCTGTCGCTGCGCTGTTTGGACGTTGTGCGGTTTTGTCGAGTGCTATTTTGACGCGTGCTGTTTTGTCGCCGTGCTGTTTTGACGCTGTGCTGTCTTGACGCGTGCTGTTTTGACCGTGCTGGTTTGTCACGTGCTGTTTTGTCGTGCGCTGTTCTGTCATGGTGCCAATATGATGACCCAGGTTATGGACATAACCAGCGGAAAATCTCTCGGCCCCTATCGTAATGGCGAGATTCCGGTTCATGCCCGAGGCGTCATGAAGGGCTACTTTGGGCGTCCTGAAGCAACCGCTGAAGTCTTGAGCAACGATGGATGGTTGCGTACAGGTACGACGTGCTTGTTTTTTCTTTTCTTTTGTTTCGTTTAGACTAACAAGAATACGGCTTTCTCGGTCTGACCCAAATATTTCTATTCCGCGAAAAATTGTCGTGGAACCAAAGTGTTGTTATGCACTTTTTAATGTTCATTAGCCCATGGTGCGTCTGAGATCTTTATATGACGCTGTAAATCCGTTCTGTAAAATATGCGGATATGAGCTGGGGCAAAGATTTACCATATAATCAGTCTCAAAACTCTGCGGTTTGGGGTTCAACCAACAATGTATACAACTATAGCGGGCTTTCTTAATACTATATAAAGTTTGCCGTGACATCAAAACTCACTACGATCTTACTTCGGCTGCTAGACAGATGTGCGCACGGAAGCCTGCAGGGGCGCATTTCTGGACACTCCTCTGCAGTTCTTGAGATATGGCATGTGGTGTTCTCCTATTTCTGTGTTGTTATGCATATGGCCGATAGTCATTGTGTATTTTCTAACGTTTATGCCCGCGACGGAGCGAGCGTTCGTTACAAAAGAAATTCTTGTTTAGGCAATTTATCATCCTTCTCGGCTTGTGTTCGAGCACCTCACAAGGCAGCTAACTTAAACAACACCTGCCGTGAATTGCCGTCTCGACAACCCCGATGATGTTTGAGGGGTGACTCCTTCTCTGGTGAGGCATCCATTCAAGCTCCGTGGGTATATAGTTAAACTAATCAATTACAACTGGTTGTTTAGGGCTTTTATATTAATGAAGTGATTTGATGCGTGCTATTGGTGAATTTTCATCTCAAATCGAATTTGACTGGAAGAGTGCCAAATAGTGACCAAACATGTAAGTACAAGTTAAACATTGAATACCAAAACATCTATTTGGAATGCACAAAACATTCACAAAAATCGCGTAACAAAAGAACGAGGTCGGCATGGGTGTCTGTTTCACCGCGAAGCCACTGACTAAAGAGGGATAAGTACTGCCAAGATTACGTTTTGATTTTCAGGAGATTTAGGCTGCTACGACGCTAAAGGGCTGATCCATGTTATTGAGAAATTGAAAGAGATGGTAAAATGCATGGATAATGTCGTCACCCCTGCGGAGCTGGAGGAAATTTTGAACACCCACGAGGCTGTCGCAGAGGCCGCAGTTGTGGGCGTTCCAAGCTCCAAGTATGGCGAGGCTCCAACAGCCTGTGTCGCTGTCAAAGACGGCTTCGAGAAAAACCTCAAGAGTCTGGCGACAGAACTGAAGGAGCTAATTGCAGGTATATGTCAAGTTCCTGATATTCGAACTTTGTTTCTGGTGTGATATGTGCGTGTCTAATTTGCACAATTCAAAGCTTAACTTTTAATCATAACGCACAAATTTGGTTTTGGGAAAAGCGCCCTATGAGCTCTAGTCATTATTGGAAAATGATGAATAAAACTCTCGAGGCTGCCCACCCCCCCCCCCCTCCTTCCTCTGCCGCCTTTACTCTCACTCCCATTGTTTCTTCCCTCTCTCCCCACCTACCTCCACTGACCTATATCTTTACCCCTCCCCCTCCTTCTCTCTCCCCATCCCTCTCCAGTAGGCGCAGGATGCTACGAAAATAACTACAAATCCAGAATAAAATATTGGAAATAGAAGAGAACCATTTTATAAATACCAGTAGTCATACCGAAGCCACTTTTATCGCGTACATTAGTGCTTTATTTGTTTATTCGCTGCAGTCATTGTTAGCAACAAGCTATGTGAAGCTTTCTCGACAGAAGTAACTGTTTGATTTTTATCGGAATATAAATATTCATATGCTGAGTGAGGTAAGATTCACAAGTGCAGCGGTAATAATATTGTGAACGAAGAGGGGGGGAGCGGTTATTGAATTTGATGCATTAAAAGGGAAGCGAAAGGGAAAGAGAGCTGGCGAAAAATTGAGCCGCTCCTAGCTAAATTTTTTGCCAACTCTCCCTTTTCTTGCCCTGAGATTAATGCATTAAATTCAATATTCACTCCCTTCCCTTTTCGTTCACTATATATATATACATATATATATATATATGTGTGTGTGTGTGTGTGTGTGTGTGTGTGTGCGCGCGTGTGTGTGTGGGGGGTGTGTGTGTGTGTACATAGAGGGTGTTTAACGAAAGGTGGACAAATTCGATATTGCCAAAACTACACCTCGCAACAAAAAAACGACTTGTGTCGTTGTGGTCCTGGGCCAGGGGCTTATTTAGAAAAATTATTAAAGTCCGGGATTATTAAGTCGTTCATTATTTTTGCGTAATTAACTTTTTTATTTGTTTTAAGGGCATGCTTTATATTAGAAAATTGCTCAGCATCATCAAAAACCACTACCTCAACTAATTGCAGAGAAACAGGGCACGCGAAGCATTTTAGGGCTTTCTGAAAAACCGCACAAATTCGACGGGTTTTTAAGTTTTGGTTTCTTATCGAAGCGCATCTCGGCCCAGACGGCACCGCGCCCCACGGAGAAATAGTGCAACCAACCTCTGCTGCGTCGCGCGATGACAGCGCAGCAGAGGTTGGTTGCACTATTTCTGCTCTAAGTCTTCGCAAAACACCCGGTATATATGTATATATATATATATATATATATATATATTTATAATTGTCCATATTAGATAATCGTTTTTGCTTGAAAGAGCTATTTTCTTAACTCGAAGATTTCGAAGAATTCAATAAAAATTTGATGGCGCAAATAACAACCTTCAAAAAGGTAGAGCGTCAACTAGAACATAAACATTAATACAGAAAGTAGAAAAAGGGACAAACACATGCAGTGGTGTGTTTGTTTCTTTCTATACTTAGTGTGTTCGTGTTTATGTTCTAGCTGACACTTATACCTAACATGTACGAACTAGATCTACTTGAGACTCTACTTCAAAAATATTCTGTGTATTCATGGTTATGAAAACCCGGGACTTGGGAACAAAGAAGGGGACGAGCACAATGTCGCCACCCCTATTAGTACCCTGTTAGAGCCGGCTATTATCTAGCAGTGGACATGGCTATATTATATTAACCTCTTTCTGAATCTGACAATCAAGAAACACACTAGTGAACTTATTCCATACAATATACAAGCGCTAAAAAAGCAAATGTACTTTGTTTGTGCCATGTTTTTCTTTAATTCTCAAAATCACATTAACTTGAAACGTAAACGTCTTTCTGCTTTTCAATCTGCAAATATTAGGGTTCCATGAATGGAGTGTTGAGCGTGCGGGAAATTAATCCAGTTAGTGCACGCCTTTTTTTCCTGTTTCAAAGGTCAAGCAGCAGTGTTCAAGCAGCTGTATGGAGGCGTTTTGTTTATGAAATCTCTTTCCAAGTCCGATAGCGGAAAAATCCTGAGAGAAGACCTCAAAACAAAGGTTGCCCATGAAATAGAGAAGTTGAAAAAATAGTTGAGCTTCTCGGACTCCACAAGTTACACAAAACCAGGATGTAACCGATAAATGTGTTTCTGTATTTCACTTGCAATAAACAAGAATAAAAAAAGCTGCGCCAGTTAAAATAATGGTGATATTTGTGAGTCGGTTTTTAATTTATAGATACAAATAGAATGCAATTAAATGCTGCAAAAACAAAGTATATGTTATTTACGCCAAAAAATAAAAAGATCAATAAACTGCCATGTTTGACAATAAACAATTGCATTATAGACCGTATAACTGATTGCAAATTCTTAGGGGTATGGTTTAATGACAAACTATCCTGGACAACGCAAACTGAGCATATAAAAAGTGACCTCTCTAGAACAATAGGAATAATTTATAAGACAAAAGACCTCCTACCGACATGGTTGAAGGTACAAATATACTACACCCTTTTTTATCAAAAACTTTACTACTGTTTTCTAGTTTGGGGCACCACGGTTAAAACAAATTAAAACAAATTAAAACAAACACGGTTAAAACAAAAACGTATGTTAAGAATAATGACCAACTCGAATCACTGTAGTGAAGCCGAAAGCCTATTTGACAGATTAATATCCTTCCACTTTCTAAACTTTACCATTATAAGCTTGGGCAGCTTATTCATAGAAACGGAATAAGCGGCTTTGACCTCATTCCTGCAAATTTGTCTGAATATAATTTAAGGACAACAAGGACATACAGACTACCATCTATTAGGACTAACTACGAAAAACAAATGATCAATTTTCAGGTTTCCCAGCTCCTAAATGCTGTTGGTAATAATTTGATAATTACTACAAACCGAACTACATTTAAAAAAATCTACGCTCCTTTTTGATTGCCATTGAGTTGATACTTCTATAGATATGCTGAAATACTTTTCTTTTTAATTTTAACCAGCATTTTTTGTGCATCCGCTTTTATTAAAAATCTTGTATACCTTGTGATCACGTTTATATTTTAATTTTATCGTGTGGACAATGCCAGATTGCTATTTTATATGTGCCGGGAATTTAGGAATGTATTCTAGCTTCTTCACTTTTATGGTTTATACCGAAAGTGCTTTTCTTACTTTTATTAATTTCTTTTTTGCTTGATGTCTTATATTAGTTTTTAATCTTTGTTTTTATGACAATGTTAAACAACATCAATGTGCGCTAGTATTCATTCTTTACAATTTTATGTATGCATCCATTTTCTCTTGAGTGTATGTAGGTGTGTATCCGTTATATCTTGTATAAGTATTTTTTTCTCTTGTCGAAGTTTAACCTTAATTGCTGTTGCTGCTGGATTTTGCCCCCCTTCCCCCCTCCTCCCTCCTCCCCCCCCCCCCCCCCCCCCCCCCCCCATTGGACCTTGGTGCCCAGTCAGGCGACACGATCGTTATTTTGCACCAAGGTACCATTTCGAGGAGTGTGTACCTCTTGAAAGAAAAAATAAACTGATTGATTGATTGATTGATAGATATGATAAAAAAGAGTTTTATTTGAGGTAGTATAAAGCAATTAACTTTTGATGAAGTGTAGTGCAGTGTTGGGACGATTCGGTAGGCAGCAGAGACGAAACGAAAGCAAGGCTAACGAATACACAAACGATTTATGGAGGCCGGGCCATCTCGTGAAGGCAGGCGCAAAATAGTTGTGCTTTACAAATTTGCCTCCCTTTTCCTGGCAATATTTAAGAAACAAAAAATCCTACAGGAGTCATTAGAAACGAAAAAAAAAACTTTTCTCGAACTTTGAAGCAAAAAAAAAAATAAAAGATAACATTACAATTGTATTTTTTGGTTATTGATTTAACTAAGTAACACACATAGAGCGACAGATCGCGATGAAGAACTTGGGGATCCTAGGGTCAATCCCCATCCCTGACCATTTAGGTCTGGATGAGCATCGCACCCGCGTGCGGTCGTGTATCACTACGTTAAAGACCCCAGGTTAGTGGTTGTACTGCAGTGGCTAAATCGCTAATCTGCAGCTGAAACACGAGAGTCCCGCTGAGGCAGACTAACTTCCGGCTGCATAAACATACACTCAACAAGTTGTTTTGGCTTTGCTTTGATGTTTTTCTGTCTGTAATGGAGTGAGTGCCTGTTTTGTGAGACATATATGGGCTATGTAGTCGTATGATTACAACCAACGTTACTGGATCGGCTGAGTTCACAAGCTCCGAAAAAATGGGGCGCGCTGCCATCCATTGCCACGTAGGGGCGCTGTTGTCGCAGCCAGCCCGACCCACTCGGTCCGGCGTCGCGGTACCCTCGGGCACGCAGTGAAACACATAGTTCCTGTGAGGATTCACAAAGTGCATTACCAGACACTAGTGCCAGTGTAACAATGTCCGGGGTGGGGCAACATTTCCTAGGACATTTTAGGTAAATTCATGCCCGCCCGGTCTTCACAGTTTTGGCAGTCTTCGACATTCGACAACAGGCAAGCAAGCTCGGAGAATTGGCTGCGTCTATCGTGATTTCCGTCACGATAGACGCAGCCATTTCTCGCTATGTTTTGGTCGTTTGCGAACTGAAATACAGAGAACTTCTCTCTTCTGTGTGTCTTGTGTTTGTGTTATAAGTTCATGCATAAGCTGATTAATGCATTCCACAGTTGCATTAGAAAATCTATTATATGAAGACGTCTTTGTCATTTGAAGGAAGCGGGCTGTTTTTGTTATTGTGTTCGTCTACACCGGGGCTTAGTACTATAGAGCTCCGGGGGCGGTGAAAAGGGCTCAGTGAATCGTCACGTATGTTTCTCCGAGCTGGTGTGTGCTAGACCACGGGGCCACCAATCCCCCTCGAGAAACGTTCGCGCAGCTGTGAACTCACAACTCTTTGTATTTTAGCTTCGTTGTCTTCTACACACTGTCAAAACAGAATCTGTAAAGTATGTTGCCCTCATTTTCGTCTCGGCCTATTAAAACCAATTCGCAAGATAGTCCGCTATAATCTTCTTAAGGTGCAGCCCCACCGTGCGTGACGTTTTGGGGCTTTTTTGACTGCTTATAACTTCCTTTTTATGTATCTTACAATTATAAAGTTAATGTAAAAATAAAGAGCTGTTTTTCAACGATACTTTAATGTCTCGATATCATGATTATTTTTATTTGTTAGTTAATTATTCAGCTTTTAATAGACCACAGTATCTAATATTGAAAAAATGATTTCTCGAGTTTTACGTGAGCGTTCGGTTGGATGTAATAAATTAAAAACGTAAGCAACAGACTGTGCAGATAATGCATATTTTAAAATAATAAATAAAGTTTAAAATGGTATTATTTTATGGCGCTATAAAAACGGAATCACGTCAACTAATCAAAATAACGAGACATTAAATTATGAAGCATCTTTGGATATTACACTTTCCAGAGCTTCCATGTTGATATATTACACATTAATAATGTTATAAGACCTTAAACTTTTCCCATTCAGTTACCGCAAATTATATTTTCTTAATATAAAATACAGATGGCTACAGGTGTTCAAGAACAGCTTGATGTGCATTTTCCTTCGTGTGCCGCTTGGAACGCGATGTGAAAGACGGAAAAAGCGCCAGATGTCAGGGTGTCAGATGCCTAAATGCCCGCAGTGAGCGAGCCAGAGATCTCAGAGCAACAAGCGCGAGGCTGCCCTACTGAAAAAAACCATTTGAAATTCAAACGGGTGGCAAACTGGTAAATCAAACGGGTGCAAACTTGTCGACCCGTTTGGATCAAACGTGATTATGGGATACGGGTTGCCGTTTGAAACGGTACCCGCTCGAAACGGTACCCATTTGATACAGGTGCCCGTTTGAAACGGGTGCCCGTTTGATACAGGTGGCCGTTCGACCTTGCACGTGACCACACGTTTGAACGTGCCATTCGAATCGGGAAATCATGCGCTAGCCCTAAACGGGGATCGTCTGGTAGGTTGGTTATCTTAAACTTATTTAAGACGTTCCGAAACTCATAAACCTATTTATAACGTGGAGGAAACACGTAGAACAAATGTGCTCACGTAGGTGCTTGCAAATGGACAGGAAAACAGACACAAAAGATTGTTTTCAATTCTGCTCAAAGTTTATTACGTGTTCTGCAGACAAGTACAAACGTGCAAGCGATCTGTCAAATGTGAGAGGCACTCTAAGCTTTTATACAACTGAGAAGATAGCAAACCAAACAAGAACCGAGGTAATTCTAGACTATGAAGGTAGACTTTCGGGAAATTATTCCCCCGGCTGCCGCGAGAATAGTGGCTACATAATTACATAGATAATCAGGAAGAGTACGAGTAGAAGAACGGTCAATCGTTGCCAAGAAGTAGGTTGCAATGCACTTACCATAAAAATAGCGGACTTGAAAGATGTAATCCGTGATAGTTGTTGACACGGTGAAAGCAGGACAACCACACAAACACAAATGAGAGGCAACGGCTTCTTGGAAGTTTCAACACGATGTGGCGCACAAGCTGTCAGTCAGTTGCCGAACCCAACCAAACCGCAAGAATTCCTGACTTCTTCGAAGAATCGCTTGTTGCCGATATAGACGTAGGACTTTTCGAACACTGATAGCTTTGGTGCACATCCAATACGTTGTCGGGAGACATCCTAATAAGTCCGCAGGGTTAGACGACAGATCGAAGCAGGTGGACGCGTTAAGTTCGAGCTGGAACTGACAACAAGCAGACAAAGAAAAAAGCGGCTGCTACACTCTAAAACCGGTCCCTCATAAAAAACGCTGTCCCTCTGATTTTAGAGGGGACAACAATGCTTTCAGGGGGACACCCCTTTTTAAGAGGGAAATTGAAAAATAAAATAGCAACATCTAGAGGGACACCAACATATTAAGAGAGACCAAGGAAACCGTTTCGTTAGTCCCTCTGAACAGGAAAGTCAGACAAAAAGATTCATGCGTGTCCCTTCATATTAAGAGGGGACCGGTCCCTCTTAACTGGACCAATGTAGTTCGGTCAGGAGGAGGGGGGCAGGCGCACTAATCCACGGCAAAGA